CGATTGATCAACACAACAAATATACAACTCCCCTGAGGGTGAAAAGGGATATCGAAGATGTTTACAGTGAACTGGACAATGGGGTTTAAAGGTTGCTCTTCTTGGATGAAACGTTCATAATTATATTGCTCTCAGCGAATTAGGCACCTAATAAAAACCAATTCAAACTTTATGACCACCATGAAATGTGTTAAAAGAGAGAATAACTTGAAATGTTCAGAAATAATTTAAAAATAGGGAGAAAAAAATTGAATCACAACAGAAAAAGTTCGTTATATAGAAAATGCACTTCGCTATTGGGAGGTTATTTTACGAAGAAAATCGTGAAATGTTCTTGGTTCCAGGAAAAATTTCGCTGTATAGAAAAATTCGCAATATAGAGGTCCGTTCTATAAAGGTTCGACTGTATTTAGTTTTACAAGATATTGTGCTAAGGAGTATAAAATTATCTCGCGTGGAACCCGGGATAGTATACACAATAAAATATTCACATTCCAGTAAGTAATATATATATATATATATAATATAAAGATAAAACGCATGTTTTTTCTATCCTTTTATTATATATAATAAAAGTTTAAAAAGTATTGCAAAATAAAGTTATTATGTATGAATAAAATGTTCAGTTTCTTAATGACAGGGATGAGCTTTAAATTCTTGAGGGTATACAAACATTTTAGAGAACGTAAATCCATTTTGCATACACATTTATCAGTTTCATTTCAATTTTTTTTGTGTGCGACTCATGGAACCCCAGGGTTCCGTGGAACACAGTTTGAGGACCACTGATCCGGTGTAATGATTATCAAAAAACGGAACTTCCCATCTTCCATCGCTCATTTACTTTTGAATGATATCTGGTATCTTCAATACAGGAAATTAAATATTTAGGACTTCTTGATAATAAGAATTTTCTTGGAAAAAGCGTAGTTTGCATTTCAAACAATTTTGATAAATTACAGCTAGATTAAGTCATATGGCTTTAAACACTGACGGTATGCTCATGACAATGCGTGTGTTTCTGCTCTTGTCTGCAAAAAAGTTTCCTTAGTTTTGAACCGAAAGCATGGTTATTATTTGTATTGTTAAAAAACTAAAGTTTCCCCGAGAATCTGAACTAGGATTTTTGAAATTAGGATTTTGAAACTAGAATTGCTTTTATAATAACTTGTCTGTATATAGCTAAGACTTCTGTACAGAGCTGAAATAGGATTTTTGAAATATATCACTTAGAAGTGGATTTATTTGTATTTTAATAAATCAAAGTAGATAAATTTTAACAAAAAATGCCAGTTTTTTTTTTCAGTTGGTAATAACTCTGAAAACAATAAGAATTTTTCAAAAAGCCCTAGTTCAAGTTCAATGCACATCTTAGCAATAATCAAAATATCGTTATGATAGAAGCATTTTTCGTAAAAGGAAAATGTTTTGAAAATATGTTATTCTTTTTTTGCCAAAAAAAAAAAAAAAAAATTTATTTAAAATTTTTTTTTTAATTATTATTTTTAAAAATTTTTTTTTTTTTTTTTTCCAAAAAAAAAAAAAAAAAATGTATTTAAAATTTTTTATTGTAGTATTAGTCTTAAAATATTTTTATGTGTATATTCTAATTCAGGTGGAACTAAATAGATACTTAAAAAAAATTATTCATTTATATGTTTTTGCAAAATAACGGTTCTTTAGTTAGATACCTTAATTTCCGATTTGTTGTTTTCTTCAATTGTTCTTTGTAATATCAGTACACATCAGTATGCTCTCTTAAGATGATAATAATTATTTTACGAAAATTTAATTTTAACTCTTAACTGGTTTGCCCGTATACCGTACGGGGTACCGAAAGCTGGCCACAACCGGTTTGCCCGCACGCTGTACGGGCACTGATATTTTCTTCTTTTTAAGATTTATATAAATTTTTAATTCTTTTAGTGATATTGTTAGTTGGTGTTTTTAAGGTATATTTTGTGTGTCCATGGGGTACAGAAATACTTCTCATCTGGAATTTTTTTAGTGGTAAAGGCGCAAAATTCATTTCCTTAAAGGCAGGGATTTTGATTCTTGAAAATATTCGATAAAAAACAAAGATTGTTAAAGACATATGCAATTTGTTGCACAAGAAGAAATGAAAATGGAAAGATAATTCGAAAAAGTAGATATAATCTCTGTTCCCATTGCAATGTAAGACTTAATACTGCACCATGCTTCAAATTGTGTGTGCATATATATTTGCACACACATACAAAATCCTCATCCGTTTGAAAAAAAGGTACAAACATGAAATTTTTTATTGTAACAGTGAGAGAAATTCTTTAAGGATTTGTGAAACATTCTTCATATAGTATGCAGAGTGTACTAGCAAAACCCAAATATTTAGAAGTTTCTGTGTTCCACAACTATAAAATAACAAATAGTATGAAAACTTTAACAAGCAATATAAAAAAAAATAATTTTTTTTAAATCAATTTCTATTTAGGTCAACAAAGAAAAATTTTAATATTTAGTTACTTTTTATTAAATAGTAGCAACAAATATATAAGTATGTATATACATATGACAGAATCACAACTTTAAGTGGCAAAATAGAAAGCGGCTTTCCTTTCTATGTATGGTGTTGGTCTATTATTTTTGCTTGTTACTATTTATTCATTCATAAATCACATTCTCACAAATTAGGCAATCTCAGGTAGGATTCGAATCCACGACCTTTGTATTAGAAGTCCAACGCCCTATCCATTGAGCTACAGGAGCATAACGAACGATTTTCCTTTTTATATATGGTGTTGAACTATTATTTTTGTTACTGTTTATTAATTAATTAACTAATGAATTAATATTTTTAAAAAACCGTATTAACATCAAGGGGCATCCACTACAAGTTTAAATTTATTTGAGCTTGAATGGATGAAAAAAAAGTATTTTATCAACGAATGAAAATTTGAACTATATATATATATATACATTAATAATTTTACATATTACATTTATCGTTTTATAGATGACATAATCATTTTTGGCAAGCAAGTCAATTTTATACCTAGCACTAATTTTTATCCACAATATCTTAATTTAATACAGACAAATAGTAGCAACAATAAAGCAAATTTTCTTGATATACATATCAAACTAAAAGATAATGTAACAGTTTCTAATATTTATGATAAAATAGAAGAATTTAATTTCAATATTATAAAGGTTCCTCATTGGGAGTGTAATGTACATGTTTCTATATTCAAAAATATTGTTATTAATTATATACAGCGCAATAAATTTCTAGTGTCAAAAAAAATCAGAAATAATATATAACTATAAACGTTTTACTAAATATTACTTAAATCAGAAATACCCAATTAATTTTATTAATAGTTATATGAATAAAGCAATTCTAAATAGTAAATATTAAAAATTCTTAGATTAATAATAGTTTATTACTATAATTTTACATATTTCCTAGTTATAGTTACCTTCATATTCTAATATTAGGTAAAATTACATATTATTATTTAATTCATATATACTCTAGTGTCACTAAAGTTATGGTAATTTGTAAACTCTCTTCTTAATTTTTATTTCTATTCTTTTTATACTTTTGTTAAGTGCTACATTTCAGCCATTCACATGCTTTGAATCTGCATCAGGGTCCAGAATCCGGCAATAACTTATTTATTGCACTCAGATTTAGCACGGGCTCTGCATTTTTAAAGTGCAATTCTTTGGTAAATTACCCTTATCTTGTAATGGATTTAAATATTTCTATCCATTACTTTCAAAAAGTTTTTGCTCAGTATTATTTACATAAAGGGGAAGGTTGGCTGACCACAAAACATGTTCAACCCCACTTTTATATAAATTATTTTATATATTAGCTGTCCTATGTCTCTCTCAGCAATGTTTATAATACTGCAGCATCCATTTTATACTTTTTAATCTCGGTTGCTCTTGTGTCCTTCATTGTGTGATTGTCCTACTGTCTATGTGTTTTTCGAATGTGATTGTTGGATGTTTATCTCTTGTTTGTAGTGTGAACTAATGGTAAGAACTGAAAATGAAAATGAAAATAAAATTCTTCCATTTTCGCATTCTGTTAAGTATTATACTTAGTTATATGCGATAAAAAAGGCCTTTTTTTGGAACATTTTAGACAAAAAAAATTGATCTCTTAAAGGGTTAACTTCAATATTATTTCTTTTCACAAAAAAAAACAAATCTGAGCATGATCCCCTCTATACCTTGTAAGAATAAAATGGAACGCAATTTCCTTAGTAAAAATATTTAAATCTCTTTATTTCAATATCGTTTTCTCTTATGAAAACCGCATCTGTCGTTTTAACTTTTTGAATGTACTATTTAGCTCGAGAGAATGGCAGCTGCCCAAACGCAACAGGCTCGCGTGTCAGCGCCCAAGACAAATCATTGTAGCTCATACTTCCAATCATAGACGATGTTCACACATTGATAAGGAAACATGATTAATGATTTTCTTCCTTTTTTTATGCACAACACGACACTCGGTGATGTTGTTTCTAAACACGTGTGTGAAAGGGCGTGCATAATCCTTATGCATTATGCAGTGGCACTGGGTTTTTCCATTCAAGGAATATTTATCCACGGCTGGGTTTTATGTAGGTGATGCCGAGAAGTAGATGTCGTGTAATGGAACACACATCACACAACGGACGGTGTTTTCATGAATAATTGAAATCAATGCTGGATTAAGTGAAAAATCAGAAGATCAGATATATATTCTTTTTCAATTTCTACTATTAGCTCACAATCTCCCTATATATATATATATATATATATATATATCTTGTTCAAATTTTCAATCGTTAATAAAATACTTTCTATTCATTCATTCAAGTTCAAACACATTTTTTAAATAGTGGATGACACTTGAGGTTAATACAGCTTTTTCAAATATTAATTCATTAGTTAAGATTAATTAATGAATAAATAGTAACAAAAAAAGTGCAACACCTTATATAAAAAGGAAGATTGCTCGCTGTGTCCCTGTAGCGCAATGGATAGCGCATTGAACTTTTAATCCAAAGGTCGTAGGTTCAAATCCCACCTGAGACGGCCTGATTTCTGAGAGAGAGTGGTTTTTTTTTACTATACTATTGTATTAGAAGAATTAAATTTAATGAATGAATAAAAATAGTAACAAAACAAAAAAAATAAAATCCAACACCTTATATGGAAACGAAAATTGCTTCCTATTTTGCCACTTAATAGTGTTATTCCATCATATCTATTTACATATTTGTATCCATTGTAATTATTTAATAAAAAGTAACTAAAATAAAAATTTTCTTTGTTGACCTAAGTTGGAATTGCGTTAATTTTTTTTTATATTATTTGTTTATAGTACATTTCTATGATATATTTTTTGAAAAAAAAACTGGAAGAATATCAGATTGGAAAATCATGGATTTACGAATATTTCAGAGTTAATTAGACGAGCGGTTCTTAAACTTTCGATTCCCGTGCCCCCCCTCCCTTTTATGTGTGACTGACATTACAGCCCCCGAGATTTTGAACACCCCTCCCTGACTCCCAACAAATGGCTGAGTGATTTAAAGAGTGTTGGAAAGCTAAAATCATATTTTTTTGACAATTTGAGATTTTGACATTTTCAAATTGTTTAGATTTTAACCTTTCTATAAAAATACCTTACTTTAACCTCTAGGGTAATTATAAGCCCTTAAAACATATTTTTCAATAATCGTTGAAACTGAACCACGCCCATTTGGATGACAAAAAATGTAAGCAAAGTACTTCGTTTTTGCTTAAAAGTTGAGCGTCTGATATAAATCTAAACATGTATCTTTTATTGTAAATTGAGCCTTTTATTTATTTTTTTTTATTTCCTGGCCAATTAGAAATCTCACTGTATACATTAAAATCAATTTATCTCAAAATGTAAATTTTAATGTTCAATGTACCTTCTTTGAGAAACTACTGTTCACAGGTATGTAAATTTCTTATGATATATTTATAATGATGGCTAATATAAAGTATAGGCTCCATAGTTTAAATAAATTTAGTTTCTTTTGGGAGGAATATCTGACCATTTGAATTACGAATTAAACATTAAATGTATAATTCAAATTCTACAATAAATTATTAACTAATTTTCATGACAAATATTCACGTAAGGAGGATTCTTCCCTTTTGAAAATTATAATAACATGATTGCTCATAAGTATAACTATTATTCTTAATGTTATTAAAGATGGTGCTTATATATACGTACTATCACAACAATGCAAACGTTCAAGATAACTCGCAAAGTTGACAAACCCGATTTTGTATGCGTCGTACGCACTGATTTGGCAACCATGTGCTTCGTTTCATTTAATGTCGCCAATACGGTTACAATAATATGTTGTTGTTACTGATTCCACCTGATCGGTAAAGGCCAGATCGAGGCCCACGAAATTAATCATGGCAAAGGGCTAATGACGCCTGTCGTTAGCCGTATCTTTGAGCATCATACAGGTGACAGTACGATTTAACTCGTTTCCACCCCAACTTTGAGGGAGGACACCTAGGGGTGGTCAGGGACCTCCCACCTCTCTACCCCTTCCACCAACCTCACGAGAGGGCTTGCAGTTTGACGGCTATTTAGAGTACCTCCATGCCGCAAAGGCACTATACATTTACAAACATCCATGTCTTCTCCGGGATTCGAACCCAGTCCCTTCAGCACCGCAGTCAGCATCGCTAGCCACTATACCGGTTGGGCGACTACGATACTATGTAAGTACCTTAAAGATATGCAACGTTCATTTCTCACTTAAAAACATCCTTGAATAAATATATAAAATAATAAAATACTTTTCACTTTTTATACGTCATACATTTTTTCCAGATATTTTAATTGTAATTGTAGTGACAATACTGTCTATCTAAAAACCCACTGTCATTCTTTAATATATATATACACTGAAGAGCCAAAAAATTTGGTACAGGCATGCGTATGCAAATAAAGAGATATGGAACCAATCAGAGTACGGCGCTGACGTTGGCAAAGTCTATATAAGACAACGAGTGTCTAGTACAGTTCTTAGATAGTTTACTGCTGCAACAATGGCAGGTTATCAAGATTTAAGTGAGTTTGAGTGTGGTGTTACAGTCGGCGCACAAGAGATGGGACATACCATCTCCGAGGTAGCGATAAAATTTGGGTTTTCATGTACGACCATTTCACAAGTGTACCGTGAATATCGGGAATCCCGTAAGACATCAAATTTACGACATCACTGCGGCCGGAAAAAAATCATACAAGAACGGGACCAACGACGACTGACGAGAATCATTAAGCGTGACAGACGTGCAACCCTTCCTCAAATTGCTGCAGATTTTAATGCTGGGTCATCAACAAGTGTCACCGTGCGAACCATTCATTGAAACATCATCGATATGGGCTTTCAGAGCCGAAGGCCCACTCGTGTACCCTTGTTGACTGCACGACACAAAGCTTTACGCCTCGCCTGGGCCCGTCAACACCCACATTGAACTGTTGATGACTGGAAACACGTTGCCTGGTTTGACAAGTCTCGTTTCCAACTGAATCGAGCTGATGGACGTGTGCGGTAATGAAGACAACCTTATGAATCCATGGGCCCTACATGTCAACAGGGGACTGTTAAAGCTGGCAGAGGCTCTGTGACGGTATGGAGTGTGTGCAGTTGGTGTGATATGGGACCCCTGGTACGTTTAGATACGACTCTGACAGGTACGTAAGCCTCCTATCTGATCACCTGCACCCATTCACGTCCATTGTGCATTCCGACGGGCTTGGGGAATTTCATCAGGACAGTGCGACACCCCACACGTCCATAATTGCTACAGAGTGGCTCCAGGAGCACTCTTCTGAATTGAGACATTTCCTCTGGTTACCAAAATCCCTTGACATGAGCCTTTTTTAATATGTCTGGGATGCCTTACAACGTCCTAATCAGAAGAGATCTCCATCCTCTCTTAATCCTCAGATTTATGGATAGCTCTGCAGGATTCATGGTGTCTGTTACCTCCAGCACAACACTTCAAACATTAATCGAATCCATGCCACGTCGTGTTGTAGCACTTTTACGTTTTCGTGAGGGCCCTACACGATATAAGTTAGGTGTACCAGCTTTTTTTTTGGCTCTTCAGTGTATATATAACAAATAACTTTATTTTACAACTACTAACTACCTCACACCATTTCTTGCCCTTAAGAGCAAGTCTAATGGATCCAGTTATAAATGAAAAAAATAATAAACACTAAATATATGCTATTTTTAAGACAGAATCCCAAATCCTTATCTTGAAACAGAATTATATAAATTTGAAACAGTTAAAAGTATTAAGTACTTAGGATCAATTATTACCTCTGATAATAGAATATCTCATATGCCTTATACCTGGCAAATAAGGCTTTTCATGTATTGAGGAGGCTTCTAAAATCTAAATTTCTTTCAAGAAGCACGACATTTTTAACTTACACAACTCTTATTAGACCAGTTTTGATAAATGCATCTGTGACTAGGACAATAACAAAACTAGAAGAAAATCGAATGGCACCTTTTGAGAGAAAAATACTTCGAAGTATACTTAGAGGTGTAAACGAAAACAATAGCCGGAGAATAAGATACAATTTTGAATTATATAGAATTTATAAACAGCCTCACACACATCATTAAACACATAAAAATAAATAGAATGAAGTGGATCGCACATATAATTCGAATGCCAGGTGATAATGTTGTCAAAAAGGTACTGAGGACCAAAGTCGCTGGGATTTGGAAGTGCGGAAGACCAAGTCTGAGATAGGCAGACTCAGTGGAATCAGAATTTGGGATTACAAACGAGAAAACTCTTGGAGAACAAAAGCAAACAAGAAGTCATTATGGAGGAATTTTCAAAGGAATGCACTAGCCCATGAGGGGCTGTCTTGACAGATATGATGATGATGAACTACCTCACACCTTATACGTAACTAAACTACCTCAAAAACTTCCCTCTCAGACTTTACCTCCTCTATCTTCTCCGCACTATCGGGGATACAACTGCACAACACCGCTGTTGAAATGGCGCTATATATTACCTAAACATAAAATTGTCGCGATTTTTTTTATTTAATATTTTAAGGTATCCGACTACGTTCAGAACCGTGATTTTAAAAAGGCGCATAAATGGATGATTTTTAGGATATTTAGCGTCACTTAGATTAGAATACATGTATAAAATTGTTTTAAGGACATTTTGACAAAAAAAGTTATTTAAGTACAATATTTCGGCTAAAAATGAACATAGAATAACGAATTTTCAAAATGTTCTCCTTTTGTGAAAAATGCTTCTATTATAATAATATTTTGCCTGTATATAGCTCAGACCTCTGTACAGAGGCTCAACTATGTTTTTTGGAAAATTCACATTATTTTCAGAGTTGCAACCATTTGAAATAATTATCAGCGTTTTTTTTCTTAAAATTTCTCCTCTCTGTTGTCGTAAAACATGGTTAAACCCCCTTCTAAGTTACATATTTCAAAAATTCTGGTTGAGCCTCTGTATAGAGGTCTGAGCTATAGACAGGCAAAATATTATTATAATAGAAGCATTTTTCACAAAAGGAGAACATTTTGAAAAAAGGTTATTCTAAGTTAATTTTTAGCCGAAATATTGTACTTGAATAATTTTTTATTGTAATACTATTCTTAAAACAGTTTTATATACATTTTCTAATCTAAGGGAGACTAAATATCATAAATATTATCCATTTATACGCTTTTTCAAAATCTTGGTTCCGAACGTAGTCGGATACCTTAAGTAAAAGAAACATTTTTATCAGACCCAAACCAAGTAAATGTGATATTTGCGATCCTGCATTCATATGTGATTCTTAGTCGTCTATGTACCCTCTACATACCCTACCAGTTTCTCGGTCTGGCAGCGAATCATCCTGTGTATATATATGTATGTACATACTCATATGGTAATACCCTTTAACAAGTTTCTAAATGTTGTTACACGTATTCGGTCTATTAATGAACAGAATTTACATGTTAATAATCTTCAGTAACCCGATTTGA